CACTTCCACCTGATTTTAGAATCAGTTTATAACAGGAACGGTCAGCAGGAATACACAAATGAACCAAAATTGTTGCTTAGAAGGAAATATTTTAGGTAGGTTGGATCTGGTTTGTGGCGGGGACAAAAGCTGCAGTCATTAAACCAACCCTGCCTGAACGAGTGAAAGGCATATTATCCAAATGTAACTCCTCATTTTAGAAGAATGTACAGTAGGATATGATGAAAAGAGAAAATTATAAGATTATCACACTTAATAACAGCCAAGAGGCATTTGCGAGACTGTAAGTCTCATTCATTTCTATAATCCACTCAGAGTAATATTACTGCATCTTACTTAGAGAAAAAGGTTCCTAAAGATATTCAGCTGAAATGTAACCATTGAGTAAGGGCATCCATATTTCTAACTGGACATAACAATTTACTGTCCTCCAAGTCAGTGGCTCATGGATCGTTCCAACTTCATTTTATATTGCTTGTTACAGTTGTATATAAGGGGAAGCTGTTCAATTGTTACAGCTGCTTCATTCTCAGGTTTGGTTGGGTAAAGGTCAATGTACAGAAAAATAATATTTTAGTTTCTGGTAGATGCTGGACCACTAAATAAGAAATTTATATATATCTCTCAGGGACTATTGGTGAGCTATTGGTGCTTAAGCTCTGTGCTCCTTTAGTAGGGATTATGAATGGTTCTCATGCACACTGTTGGATTATATAAGAGAGGGTGGAACATGCAATGGTGGATACCATCACTCAGGACTGACTCAGCCGACTAGGCTCTAACAGTAACTAAAATATAATTCTGAGTGGACTGAATGTTTGTGACTTGTACTCATAAGAGTGTCTACAGGTAGCCAGACTGTGCATTAACTCTGCTAACACACTGCCACAGCAATAAAACAACAGGTTTGCCTTAATACCCCCCTTCCTGGCATATGCGTGCATTTTTTTTTTTGCTCTGGCCATGTAACAACTCTAGGCCAGTCAGCTCTGTTACACAGAAAGTCCATAGTACAACTCCAAAGATTAAGGCTAGGTTCACACCTGGGCGATCCGTGACCACGCAGCAATCGTGCACGAAACCGTGTGGTCACAGAACCTCCCACCACTACCAATCGCTCTGGTGGTGCCATTATTTTCTAATGGCACCCCAGTCGCTCCGGGCAGTTCGCCCACGGCAAAAAAAAAGCTGTGCGTTGTGACCCCTTTGAAGTCAATGGGGCCGCGCGGCAATCGCTGTGTGCAATTGTGCATGATCGCCCATATCTGAACCTAACTTTTTAGTTTAAGATATAGTGCAACATATAGTGCAAGATATAGCAAGTCACAAATATGTGCAATGCGCATTATACACCATCTTTTAGTTACCTTATTTTGGGAAAAAACAACATTTTGAAAATCATTAATTTGATGAAATATATCTGAAATACTTTGCTTCCTCAGGTCTATTTTGCTGGTGACGGTGTTTTTTTTGCAAGGATTACAATACTCAAATTGATGAAATTTACATGATTGTTTTGAGGCAAATAGTCAGCTGTAAATGGTACATTTCTTAAGATGATAATTTTCTGTCTGCGGGCAACCTTAGCGTTGAAGATCTCTCAGATTATATCTGTATCATTTTACAAGGTTGCAGGAGACTTAGTAACATGTTCACTGTACCTATTCAGCATGGCTGATTAAGTAATGTGGGTGGATTATGATCCCTTCGAAGAGTTCATTGAGAAGTCATTGTGTGATTCTCCAGAGCCAATATTTTCAGGCATCCTCCCAGTCTAAATTATAGGTTTGTGAAGATAAACAAAAGAAAAAAGAATCTGCTTTTGAAAGTTGTGTGTCAACAGTATCCAAGATAGAAAAAAAAACACATGTCCAATCAATTCATTATTGGCATATATGTCACTCTTGGCAGCCACGTAGTGAATATTAATCAGGTTTGGAAAGTTGACACCCATTGAAAATAATTTAAAAGGAGACAAGTGGGGCTCAGAACATGAAACTGCAGTGCTAGAACAGGCTGTGTTAGTCACCAATTCCTTGGCTGAGCATCACTTAGAACTTGCAGTCATGGCTTTCTATTCTTCATCCTCATCCTATAGGACATCTGGTGGGTCCTCAGGTGGTGCCAAAGGTCCTGGGTGCAGAAACTCTGTTTCTTTTTCCAAATATGCACCCAGTGGAGCAGGGGGAGCTTTTGGTGGCAATGTAGGTTACTGTCAAGCTGGTGATTTAGGTGCTGGTTATGATGGTGAATTTGCAGGGGTTGGATATGGTGGTGGTGCTAGCTATGGTGGAGGAGCAGGAGCTGGATTTGGTGGAGGAGTATGCTCTGGCTTTGGTGGAGGAGCAGGAGCTGGATTTGGTGGAGGAGCAAATGCTGGTTATGGTGGAGGAGCAAATGCTGGTTATGGTGGAGGAGCAAATGCTGGTTATGGTGGAGGAGCTGGTGCTGGATTTGGTGGTGGATATGGATTTAACCAGGGAGGTGGATTTGGTGAAGGTCTCCTTGCTGTCAATGAGAAGCAAACCATGCAGAACCTAAATGACCGTCTGGCCAACTATTTGGACAAAGTGCGTAGCTTGGAGAACGCCAATGCTGAACTGGAGAAAAAAATTCGGGAATGGTATGAAAAGCAAAGTCCTGTTAGTAAAACTGCTGATTACAGCCAGTATTTTAAGACCATTGAGGATCTCCGTGCGAAGGTAAGTGTTTTAATCTACTTTTTAAACCATTTGTAATTTTGATAACTTCATATATTTAAATATTTTTAAACAGTATTTTTCCCAACTTTCTGCTGTGTATGCTATCAAGCATAGCACTCTATAACTATCCTTCTTTGGTGACTCTAAACCATGTGACCAACATTGCACCACGCATTTGTCCTCCACAGGTCCAACATAGGACCAGAGCTAGCAATGAACATGTATAATTTACCAGTCTCATCAATGTCTGTTCTTCAAGTTGCAGGGACCGTGTTAAACTCCTTGTCAGCCAACACTGCTCTATGTTTTACGACATAATTATTACCTTGAATCTTATTGCTCTGGGCGATTAACTGTCTTACAACTCACAGCTTTCAACAGCGCACAGAAACAATATATATTAAATGACATTAAGACAAATAGATAGATATATTAGATAGGTAGATTTGGAACACATGTTATCCCAATGCTATAAGGGGTCACTAAGAAGAGCCATAGAGAAGATCCATACTTTGTTTACATTCTATTAGTTGAAAAAAAGCCCACAGCCGTAAAATATGGTATTAATTCATAGTTACATAGTATTTGAGGTTGAATAAAGACATAAGTCCATCAAGTCCAACCTATTGCTGATATGTGCGTATGTATAGGTCCATGTATCATCCCATTCTTAGGAGTACTTATACCCCTGTATATTACGGTCCCTCAGGAAATCGTCCAAAAGCTTCTTGAACGATTCCACACTCTTAGCTGAAATCACTGCCGGTTTTTCCACCAATTTTAGGTGGTGGCCTCTAGTTTTTGTAATGGAGTTAATCGTAAAGAGTTTGTTGCTGATGTTGCTATGACCTTTCAAATTACCAACACCTTGATAAGCAAGCAATGGGATATCCTAACTGTATATTTTTATGAAAAGGTACACAACTTCTGGAAGTAGAGAAAGGAATTTATTTTATGCCTTTAAAAGCTCCCATTATGTGCATTTTATAAACTAGTAATAAAACACTAAAACTCTTGCCATTTTATTTAGCTATATACATAGACTGAAACCATTGGCAAAAAATGAGTAATCAAGCATTGGTTGTTCCCTATTGTCATTTGACTTAATTATGTGATAAAAATTTAATAAATAGGAATATTAATTTACAAGCATGTATATATACCCATATCCTTAGCAATTATAAAAGCTCTGTTGGTTAAAGGTAGGTACCGATTTATAGGTATGTAAAAATAATTGTAGTCTTTAAAAGCATACTGGGACTCAAACTCTCATGACATCTACAAAACATCATAAGGAATGCTAATGAGCTTGTTGAGAAAACCATGCCTTGTGGGGTATACATTTTATAGTATATACTTATTGTGTAACATAAAGGAAATATCACTCTATGTTTGAAAGGTAATAGGAGAGTGTACAATTTATTCCTTCTAAGTTAAATTCACATAACCCATCCCAGCTATTCAGGAACCAGCTTTAATTGCCCTGAAAACAAAATCATCAGGTGGAAATAAAAGAAGACAAAAAACTAAAAAATAAAACTTATGAACCCACCACATTTAAATACTGGTACATTGCAATATATTAATGTTTTGCTTTTGGGTTTAGATACGCTTTGAGTTGATTAAACTGAAATATGATTGGCTGATGTAGGTTATTGCACATCACCTTTTTTAATTGTCTTATCATGGAAGCACAATGTTGTCCTACAAATGCCTCTTTGTATGATGTGTTACTCACAATGAATTGTACTGCCCTGTTAGTAAAAGCATCACATGACTGTCCTCAATAACTAAAGATAGTTTTTACAACTTGTTAAGTACCACCTAACACTTCCTGTGTGGCTCTGATCCACAGATCTTTGCTGCCACTAAAGAGAATAACAAAGTGATCCTGGATATTGATAACACTAGACTCACCACCGATGACTTCAGACTGAAGTAAGTACCAGAATTAAATGTATTATTGTTACAATGCCAATGCACCCCATGCTCATATTCTGCTTTAAGGTATGCCAATGCATACAGACTTTTTCTGTTCCCTTAAAGTCTTAGTGTACCCAAAAGTTATATTTTAGTTACAGATGGGGTCTGGTGGGCTAATTCAACCACTAGGTTCCTGTATGTTTTAGAAATGGCAACAAGGCTTCCTGTCTAGATTCTGTTCCTGTCCACCTGGAAGTTTTACTTGTTCCTGACTATCTTTGCATGTTTTAGCTCCTTGTATTACATTCGCCTCTTGTTACAATATAAGTAGATAAAAACAATGGGAACCCCTTATAAAATGGCAAAAGCAAATATATAAGCCTATAAAGAACTCTACCAGTAGAAATGTAAGAAGTTGCCTCTCCAGGATCTGCCAAAAACTGAAGTACCAGGTTTGGGTAGGCTAAGCAGAACCAGTTATCTAATAAGGTATACACTTGCTAAAGTTTATTTGCTCAAATAATTTGTAAATGTTATTTTTCTATCATTATTCACACAAATCCTATTTTGCCAGGTATGAGAATGAACTGGTTCTTCGCCAGAGCGTGGAGGCTGACATCAATGGTCTACGCAGAGTCCTGGATGATCTAACTCTATCTAAGTCTGACCTGGAAAGCCAGATTGAGAGTCTTAATGAGGAACTGACTTACATGAAAAAGAACCATGAAGAGGTTAGAAGTTTAGGACTTGGGCCCAAGTTTGGAGATGTGGTCCAGTTTTTTGTTGGAAGATTTATAAACTTCCGAAAGCACAATTAAACTTTCAGTTTAAGTCAGCTAAATTCAGGTGCATCAAAACAAAACTGTACAAAGTCTTACAGTTCTTTGTAGAAGCATGTCCCCTAGAAGCATGTTGTAGAAAAGAACCCTTTCTCCCTGTTAGGAAGTAGTGGTCTATCCGCAGAGCTCCAGCACACCCCCTGATGAGTCAGAGCTGGAGCTCTCCAGTGAGCAAAGCTCATGTTCCCTGCTCATTGGAGGGCTCTAGCTCTGACTGAGTCCGAGGTTGCATTGGACCTCTGCAGAAAGACCACTGCTTCCACCCAGAAAGCAAGGGTCCTTCTCTGAACAATGCTTGCAGTGGAATTTCTTTTCTACTCTGCTTTTAAAGAAAATGAACTGCAGACTCATCTTTTGTTGTGATGTACCCATGAATGATTTAACTGAAAGTGCAAACCCAGTGCATGACTCCAGACTGAAGAAAAAAACAAGTTTAATTTTGTGTTTTTATTTTGTAGGAAATGAAAGGATTGCAAGGTCAAGCCGCTGGATCAGTTAATGTGGAGATGAACGCAGCTCCAGGTCTGGATCTTAGCAAGATCCTGGCTGACATGAGAGCCGATTATGAAAAGTTGTCTGAGAAATACCGGAAGGAGTCTGAAGAAATGTTCCTGGCTAAGGTAAGGGTGTGGTGGACTAGATTACCCCCTTGGCTCCTGTATGTTTTGGATATGCCAACAAAAAGACCTTCCTGTCATGACTCTTGACTCCTGTTCCTGTCCACCTGGAAGTTTTACTTGTTCCTGACCATCTTTGCATGTTCAGCAACTTGTGTTCCATTTGCCATCTTGTCATCTTTACAACTTTAACAGTTGTCTACTATTACAATAAATCTTTAGCAGGGCATACAGTAGTTTTGATTAGGAACTGGCCAAAATCTCACATTTGCTATAGATTTCTTAGGTGTCTCAGTTATGTCCATTTCACCACTCACATCTACTTTCTACTTTGCCCTCTCCAAAATGGCATTGTAGCCTAGACACAGCCATGTCCAATCTGCTGGTTAAAGCCCATTCCCAACTTTTTTGTATCTGATGATTACTTTGCCACGTTGGTTTTTAAAATTAGAAAAAGAAAACAGCCTCACTGTACCAGCCTCTTAAGCGCAGTCCCTCAAAGACTCACCCTTCTGCAGTTCAGTACCCATTCTCTTCTTAGTAAATGATGGCCAGCCTCATTCTTCCATGCCCTGTAAGCCCAGGCCATTATGGATACCCCTCTTGCGGGTGCATCATTATACCGGCCTGGGCTCACAGTACTCCCAAGGGGTAAAATAAAGCTTGAGTTGGTTTTCAAATGACTGTGCTGTATTGGCAGCTATTACTACAGTAAACATATCCTCCCTCCAAGCTGCCCTGCATATAAATCCTCAGCCCTACCATGTTCTACCTCAAGAGAGGAGGATGTATACTATCTAGAATGCACATCTAGAAATTCTAGAAGGAGGTCTCTTTTTTTCTCTCCATACAGGTTTCATTTAAACAAAAGACATAATTATGCAAGTAAGAGGAAAAAGCAGACAGCCAGAAGTTTTTGTTGGAAGAGGGCCCCCATCATACCACTTTATGTGTTTTGTGCTTGTTCATCTAACCCAGAAAATTTGGGGCTGAGTATATTCACATTTAGGTGGCTGCTGAAGATACTTTCTTGGATATAGCTATTTTTGTGTTAAAAATACATTGAGAAGATTTTATTGACTCTCAATAGTTGGGCTTGGAGACAGCTGAACATTGCAGTGGAGCTCTGAGAGGGCAAAGTTAAAGGTTAGGAACCCTATTTGCCTGTGCATGTTAAGGGAGCTAAGGTCTGTTGAAAGTGCACTTTTTCTTAAAGACCACTATAGAACCGGTCTGACTTGTAGTTTTAGTCACTCGGTTTAGTTCTTATTTAACTATCATAAGGTCTCTTACAGTCAAAAAGTTCCTAATTTTGGTCACCTTATCTGGTATAATCTTCTGTTTCAGACCAAGGAATTGCAGGTACAGGTCGTTACTGGTGTTCAAGAGGTCCAGACATCCAAAACAGAGATCACAAATCTGAAGCATACACTCCAGAGCTTGGAGATAGAACTACAGTCTCAGCTCAGTATGGTATGTATATACTTATGCTGCCTTGATTTACCTTTAACCTGTCATTTAAAGACCTGGAAACGTGAATTTCGAACTTGTTTGATATAAAATATGACTAGTATAATTCACCAATACTATATATAGATACATTGCTAGATGGGGCAAAACAGCAAAATCACTGTCAGGTTCCTTGGCTCTCTACTGTAAAATCAATCCCATTATCTAGAACCAAGTCAATCTTAAGCATAGTGTTTATCTGGGCAAAAAAGTGCATCTCTTCAATGCATGCACATTTTCCCATATTTTATACCTTTAAAAATACTGCAAGTACAGGAAAATATCTGTTAATCTGCCAGAAAGCTAGTGTGTTCCTACCTGAAACTGGCAATACAGTGCCTTTGCTGCACATAACTTTCAAGTAGCATTGGAACTCCAATCTGCTGGACTATGGAGCTTCACCCATTGCCCTCCAATCTCTGTCCCCTGTACATGCATGTATTGATTTCCAAAACCCTGCCCACAAACTGTGTGTAAGAAAAGGGATCTTGGAAGATGTAGTTCTGGGCGCATGCCTACATCAATAGGAACTTAGCTCTTAACAGCAAAAGTTTTGCAATTTGGCAATGATATCACAGGGCTAGCTACAGGTACAAAATGTTAGAAAATGCATACCCTTGTTTGTGCTCAACGCGCACTTGATCACACAACCTATTCTACTCTACTACCCCTACTTACTCTAGTCTCTAGAGTAATGACTGGGAGTTAGGGGAACAGATTCCTGATCATATGATCACTGTGATAACCAAGCACAGTGATCATTATTAAGAGAGGCCTCCTGTATCTTCGTGGAAGTTCTGTAGCAGAGCAGAAAAGCAGTAACAAAATCCTGAAAAAAGAGAAAATAGGTAAAAAAAGGAAAATGTGCTATATTGATTCTAGGCCCTACTACAGGTACAAACAACAAATAATGCACCCATATGGGGCATTTCTATGCGGGCAGGAGTAGGAGAATGTATTTTGTGTTTTTTGATGTGGGTGGGTCAAGGTAATAGCAAGACACTTAAAGTTACATATACCATTTTGGTACCAGTTTTCCTCATAATTAAAAAAAATCAGGAAATATCAAGTAGCA